GCAATTAGCCCTGATGACCATGAACCCAAGCTTTCCAGATCATTATACACACCAGTCAAAATTTTCTTGTTCTCTGATTGGCTAACTAAAAGATTTTGCACAAAGACTGTGTCGGAGACTGGACGACTATGGCATCTTGCTGATGTTATTCTGCGCGCTACAACTTGTAACCTACGACACTCGGATTGAAACTTTGCCACCTTTTTTATGCTTTCCAAATGCTGCTTGCTGGCTAATTCAGCTGTCTGAGTGCTCAATTCTCTCTCTAATGTGCACACACGTAGTTGTTCAGATTGAGCAAGGAGCTCGGTCATTAAAGATTTGTTTTCTTTCTCTAGAGATTCAAGCCTCAAGCTGATAGAATTATCAGTATTGGTAAAGGCCTCAGTTTTTGCAGTTTCAAGTTGTGCATGAAGCTGCTTGAGCTGTTTTTCAAGCTCCGACTTCTTAGATTCCCATTCAACTGTCTTCAAAAGGATGGCATCCTGAAGTTTCTGCTCTTGCGCCTCCCTTGATTGTCTCAGCTGCCTAACACATTCTTTGATAGCTTCCTCAAGGTGGTTGATTCTATCCTCGAGAAGAGAGTTTTTCAAAGAAGAGGCTTCAAGTTGCTGTTTCAAAGCTGCAAGTTCAGATTCTGCGGTCTCCCAGCCTACCATTTAAAGTATTCGGTTTAGAAAGGAATGAATATCGAATAAAAAAAAAAGCTCAGTTAGAAAAACATTAATATATAAATTTATAGCAAACTCAAATATCATTGAAAAGCAGCTAGTATTTTCAATGCGCAAAAACAGGAATGGAACTATAAAATTCTCAAATGGAGAGAAAATTATCAAAATTTGTACATCTATAGGGATAAGAAAATCTAGAATTTCTTAGCATTTTAAAGGGCACTTCGGTCAAATTTTGAAGCTTTTTGGATTAACTTTCAATGATCAACATTTGTCGGAGAAAATCTTAACCTGTAATAGCATGTATTCTCTCCCGGCTTCCTGAACTAGACAGGCTTGAACCAAAAAACTGACTTGATTTTCCATCTTCTCCCTCTCGCCTTTCTAAATCCTAAATAGGGAATATTAGGCCACAACATAAGAAAAGGCAAGCAAAAGAGTTGTTATGGGTAGGTGAGTGGGAGCAACAGAGAGGAGAGAACGTGTAATAACTAAAAAAAATTAAATAGACGTTACGCTCACATGCAAAGGAAGAGGAAGGAGCAACGCAAGGCCCTGTGTTTGTATGAGGAAGAAGATAACGCACATACTCTAATTGGTCGAGCCGAGACCGGAAAAGAAGAGGAAGAACGGAAGCCTTTGCATGCATGTTAGAGTTGTCAACCAAGATAAAAGGGTGAGTTAAAGATTTTAATTAAGTTATTTAATAAAAGTGTATATAAATAAAGTAGATGTTTATTTAAATAGTGTTAATAGAAAATTTAATTGAATCAGAATCGAAATTATTAAGTTTCGAATTAAAGTAAAGGAGATGCAAACTTCTTGTACTAGAGAAGAGGAAGAGTCACGAGAGCAAAGTGAAGAGCCGAAGTTCTGATTTATGTGGCCGAAGACAAAGATGTTTTAGGGTTGTATGATTTTAATTGTTTACTTACTAAATACTAATAATAGGTTTACCTTAATCATATATTAAAGGCAAAAGAATAGAGCCTAAATCAATCAAAATTATAAGGGGGAAAGAGGAATCTTTTGCTCAAAGAAGCAAACCAAAGCTTTTAAGGTAAGAATTTATATACTTATTTATATGTGTTGTTTTTTATTATATGTCAGTAGATAGATCTTAAGTTTTCATGAGTAGATTTAGTGGGAATTTTTAAAAAGAAAAATATTTAAATAAATTAGATATATTTAAGTCTTTCTTTTAGAATGATGTTCTTATAATTACATGCAACTTTGACTGATATAGGTGATAATCAAGAAAGTGAAGTGGTTATTTTTACAAAGGACTTTTAAAGCATAAGAATAATTATTTTCTTGTATATATTAAATTAAGGTTTTATTGAATAAAAAAAGGAATGCCTTATTGCTTTATATACCTATTTTTATAATCTGAGGCATATTATGAATGAAAGAATTTCTAAAATCAATTAAATGAAAATGAAAAGGGGAAAGTAGTAGTTTCAATAACCTTAAATGGAAGTAAATAAAAGTAGTGAAATGTAAAAGCTTAAGTCATTCAAGATTATTCCTAAAGAATATTGGAAGGGATACGATGTACCCATACACAATAAAAGAAATGAAAATGATAAATGTGTAACTTCATGTGCAAATTTTTTAAGGTACTTACGAGTACAATTTTGGGGATACCTTCAGATATGACGTTAATCCTAATATGATTTCTTAAAAAGGTTAAAAATGATAGTAACTTAAATTAAAATTGGAAGGGTTAAATTAAAAATGAAGTTTACAGTTTTATGAAGTGATGAATTATATTTCTTTTGGTTATTCATATATAGCATTTGCATATAAATTTAATGCATATTATGTTGTAATTGCTAATTAAGTTGTGAAAAAACTTACTATTTAGTTTAATTATTTTTTTCAGAAAAAGAAAAACTATAAGATTGATACGTTTGACAGGAGAGATTTAATTTACAGGACTAATGCTTGTATGTATTATGAGTATAGTTTTTTTGTACTATTTTCATTTAGATAGTGATATATTGTTAACACTAATTTGAGATATTGTCTAATGAATGTTGTTATGTCTGGATGTTTTGATTTTTGTGTAGTATACTTTGTGATTTTTTTAGTGACGCTTTTCTATATATTGAAGTTCTGAAATTATGTGAAAATTAAATTAAATTTTAATAGTATCCATCTGCAATTCCCGACTTGGTTAATTTTAAACTATCAAGTTAGGTCGTGACAGAACGACAAACACACGAGTAAATAAACCTTCCATTTGACCAATACTTGCGAGAGCAAGCAAGAAGAACCTTCAGTCATATAGCCGACTATTTTATGGCTTTGATGGCTTCGACAAGATAGATTGAGGAAGTCGAGGAAGGGGGAGAGGTAGGATTATAAATGAACCATTACACTCGAGGAACAACTTGAACTCAGCTTGACTAGTACTCGAGTTTGTTCAAATTATTAAAAAATAAGCTTGGACAATTTTTAAGAACTCAAAAGTTAAACCAACCAAACTTAAATACAGTCCAACACATTTACTTGTGCTTACGAAAAAACTCATTTGTTGTTCAAGAAGTAACTCGTTAAATGCTTTGTTATATGCTAGATGAATGCTCAAATCATATATGATATATTATTTAAATAAAATTTAATTAGTTTTCACTTATTTAATTATATATTTAGTAGTAATACATTATAACTTAATATTAATATGCATATTAATTTGATGCAATAAATTGTTTTTATTTTATTGTAATTAGTTAATTTGTTAGTATTTATATGATTGCAATTAAATTTGCTTACAGCTTATATATCACTTTATTTAATTGGTATAAACAAGTTAAATATTGATTTCAAATTTATTGAATTACATGTTTAAATTTGTAAAATTAGCTAATAATTTTATATGAAAATAAAGTACTCATTTAAATTTAACTTATTTTTTAACTTGCTGGAGTTACCGTTCGATTCATATAAACACGTTTGGTATGATTATTAAAAAATAAAAACAAGCCCAACATGAAGACACATGTAAAAACTCAACTCACGATTAAGCTAAACATCAACTTGATTCAACTCAATTACAACTCTAGTGAGAGGTAAAAAAGCAATAATATCTCATTCGTCTTCTCTCGTCACAATAATTTTCTTCTACTTGAAGAAATAAGTTAAATTGAAATCCTAGCATTTTTTAATTTACCAATTAATATGTGAATGTGGGAACAATGATTAACTTACAAGTTTGGTGAACTAAAATATTGTGGACATTTGAGAAGTATCAAAACTAAGCCTATTTTAATGCTTATGTGATAGTTTTTATGCAATTAAAATGAGAGATTTTGGGCACTTCCACTCTATATTTTCTCTTGGTTGTATTCAAGTAATCTTATGAGTTTAATGTTAAATTTGTGAAATATAATTTTCAAATTTGTAATTTTAAAAAGTAATTATACATATGCTTTGTCAAGAAAGCTCGCATTCGAGTATAGTTCGTGTTCAGCTCGTTAAGTAATATGTTTGTTAAGCAAATGAGCCGAACAGGAATAAATTTTATAGTTGATGAGACTCGGTTTATCCGCCATCTACATAGATACCACATTTTCATAGCTCTCTATCTATAATGAGACTGCACAACTTCTCTTATATAGTACAACGGTTATGGAAAATTATACATGAGCCGTTGCTGATCTCTCTTAGGCCTGCTATGGAGAACTCTTCAAACCACAAGCATTTCACTGTCATTTGCAGGTAACTGGTACTCAATTCCATTCTTCTTCTCTGGTTCTTCACTCAGTCTACTCTACTGCACCCTAAAAATATCACCCTCCAATTTGGACAGTTGAATGCAATGTGCCCATATCCATGACATTTGAAACACTTAATGGTTAGAGTGTTTTTGGGGGTGCCAGTTTGGTTGGTTATCTTTTCTTCTATGTCGGCTACTCTTCTTGAGAAACAGGTCTAAGTACACTAGTCTCTATTCTCTTTCTAATTGATATGAAAGTTGAATTTATTTGGAAGTTAGAATGAACCTGATGATGTGGTGTTTTCTCTCTATCTTCAAGGCTAAGGTCGGGTTATTTTGTATTATCTAATAGAGTTGTAACTATAACATATTGCCAAAAAAGATCTCAATCCCTTAAGATATTGAGCTATGGTGTTTTCTTCGGGCTCCCTTAGTTCACACATCAACATGAATGTCTTGGATTCAACCGTGTGCTCTCATACTAAGAAATCCTTTTGTTGTAAGTTATGAAGTATCAAGAACAAATCCTGTTTGTAATAAAATTGGTGGAAACTTGTGTTTCATCTCCCTTTCCAAGCAATGACTTTATATTTTCCCTCAAGCTAGATAAGCACCTTATTTTTTTATACCATAGAGATGAACTCTTCTTCAACTTGATGACGACTAGCTTTACCCATCTGTTAGGTAGAACATCTTTACATTCAAAAACTTGTTCAACTGTCTGAAACTACTCGATGAACTCCTATGAATCCATGCGACCATCAAAATATGGTATTTCCACTCTAAAATTCAGGCTTCTCCTCTAATATTCCATGCCAAATCACTGAGATATTGGTTCGCCATCACTAAAAACTTTCTAATATAAGAGATTCACTTTCTCATCTTGATCTAACAAGTCACCATTGTGGGGTTGTCTCCAATGGTGCCAAGCTTATGCTACAGTTAGAAGATTTTTTGCTACATATCCTGTATAGTAAGTTCCAAGACACCTTCCTGAAGGTTTCTCCTTGGCGGTATGGCGTTCTTTTCTCCTTACCAAAGTTTTGGAGGTAGAAATCAAAGTGAATTTTAGAAGAGGTAGGAAAGTTAAATTTTAAAAATTTAGGATTAAAGCTAGAAATTCGGGTGGGAATGGTTAGGGCATGTGGTAGGGATAATTTTTTTGTGAATTTTGATTTGGGGCGAGAAAGACTATCCCTAAAAATTTAGGATTTGTCAAGCTCTAATATCAAATGACATAATTCTAAGACTTCTAGAAGA